GGCTGACCAACAAGGAGGCCCAGTTCATGTTCCCCACCGCCTGAGAGTTGTGAAATTATTCAAGTAGGCTGACTCACTTGGTCGACTCTGCCCCTGCCGCTCGAGGAGTAAAACGATTTAGGCAAAGGCTTTTTGTTTTGATTTGTGTTGCGCTCTGATATTGTTCTTGACATTCCAAATATTTTGACCTGAGTTACGCACCTTGGACCTTTTGCCTTGTGCTAATGATTGAAACACATTGCATTCTTGTTCGGCATCGATGGATGCAGTGAGTGCAAGAAAGCTGCACACCTTAATGGCACCAAAGCCATTTCTGTCCATTCGTAGACAAAACGCAGGACAGCTATGTCAGAAATTTGGTGACAAAATGTGACAAAACAGTTTGGGGGCAAACAACGGCTGACAGCACAGCATCAACAGTCCAGTCGCATTTTTGATTATGGCTTTCTGTGTGTGCCTCCGCCGCCACCGCTTCCAAAAATGTCACGGATTGACATGCGGCAACCTGACATCCTTGTTCCTTTGGAACCTGGTTCGTTAGAGGATGTAAGCCTCCAATTCTGTGCATGCAGGGGCCACCTTAAAATGAACAGTTATTGACGGCGAGCTTCCAAACACTGGAGCGGGTGGTGCCAATAGCAAACACCAGTTGTGCTATGATGCTGCATGAGCCGGATGCGAAAGCACAAGAGGCCATTTCCCACGCACCAGTTATGTTTATATAATATTGTTGACAGTTTGTTTTGCTGAGGCCAATCTATTCATAAGATATATGTGAATTTGCAACAATGCTGCCATGGTTTTCCATACATTTTTGCTGGCAGGATCGCTCAGCGCTGCCAAAGCCCAGCCTCTCTAGAACCATCACACCCGGACTGCCCGACCTTGACAATGCTTATTGCAGAACACTTCTGATCGGCTACACCCAAATTGCCAAATACAGTAATTGTGCCAGAAGAAACAGTAATATACAGTAATATACACACACCACGAGGAGCTCGATTGTGAAAGGATACAAGGTAAGGGCTTGCTGGTAGGAATAATCGCTTGGACAATGAATCCAAGGAAAATCTCAATGAAGAAATGCGAGTGCTCCGAAACTCAAGTTCCTATGACCATCTATGACCCAAACATGCAGTTTCTTTGATGTGCAGGATACATGGCAGCTGTCATGTCATCTCCGGATGTTCTTTGCAATCTTTGCCAACAGTACTTCAGGCAATTTGGTTCCCATGTTGGACATTGAGTGTCCAGTAACCTACTGCTGGCCTTGGAGGCAATATGACAAGAACAAGAACGGCTTTCTGGATTGCCATGAGGCAGTTGAGATTGCCAAGGACATCCTTAGAGTTTGGCCACTGGTCTTGACACTTGGCACTTCACTCAGCTGAACGAGCAGCCTGCCCATACCTGCATTCTAGCCGAAGCACACGATACCCTAAATACTGTAAACATTGGATGTGAGGAGCAAGTTCCTTTCGAAGTTGTGAAAAGCAATCCCGTGAAGCATGTGCCTTTGGGCCTGGATGGGGGGGAACTTAGTGACTTAGTGGTTGAAACTTTGCGAGTAAGCGCGTATATTTAGTACAAGTCCCATTGATGCCCCCTTGCCTGGCGCGAACTTGCATTTGTGTCGCGAAAGCATTGCACAAGTTTAAGTGGAAGCATTGTCTTTTGCCATCGATTGCCACTCAAAATGTAAGCCCTGAAATGAATTGAATAGAGACAGCAACATAGATAGCATGCTGCGGTTAACACAGCAAATCTAGAACTAACACCACCACCGTGACGACAACCTGGACCCTGGATGAGGATCAGGTGTCAATTGATATTATTTTTTTCCGAAGATTTCCGAAGACTACAAGGGCCTTTCTCCTTTGCTGGCTTTGGTTTGCATAGGGCTGAATATGGCTGAATCCCTCTTTGACAAAGCAACTTGCAAAGTTAAACCAACAGATCCTTACTGGTGGAGCTTGAATGGTCATAGGTTGTGTTATGTGTGTTTCATATTTTTTTTGTCAAACTTCATGTGCCACCATTAACATCAGTGACAAACAAAATATGGTGTTTTCTTGTGCACTGCTTCGATGCATTTAAGCATTCTGGGCATTCAGTGCGTACTCTCCTGAACCTTTTTGTTGCAGAGAGGACTTGGGCAGCACCTTGGCTGTGCCACTCGGGAGCACCGAAGAAGTGCTGAGGCCATCTTTGAAAAGGTTCAGCGAGGAGATGTGACAAGCTTGAATATTGGAAATCCTTGTGATTATGCTGAGCATGGGAGCCAACATTGATGTAACAATGTAACGAATCCGTCGCCTGCTCATTGGGCTAGTTGATGGTCTAGTCTAGTGGGTTGATGAGGCATGACGAGGCACTCGGCTTTTGTTGGCACGTTTTGACATTAAACTTGCATCACCATTGCACAGGAGGGGCGGGATGCCTTGACGCTAGAAGAGTTCAGCCGTTGGTTCCCATCTGTTTTGGGTCTGGAGCCTTTGTCTCCACAACACATTCAAGAGATACTTGGCTGAACAGAATAACAGATCCGATGCTCCTTCTTCTGCTTGTTGTTTGTTTGGTTGGTTTAGTTGGTTTATTCGGTTGGTTGGTTGTTTGGTTTGTTTGTTTGTTTGTTTGATTGTTTGTTTGTGTTTGTTTGTTTGTTTGTTCGCTTGTTTAATTGTTTGTATGTTTGTTGTTGTTTTTTTTAGTTTGGTTTGGTTGTTTGTTGTTTGTTCGTTCGTTTGCATGCGCTTTGCTGCTCGTCTTTGGGGACATGGGAAGAACTCAGACTCTCCAAAGCCTACAAACCTCATTGAAACACATATATTATATATGTGACTCCCTTGACACTTGACACTGGTGATGGTTGGCCAGAATTAAGGATGACAAGCTCAGCCAAAGAGAAGTGGGATCCAATGGCCAGTGAGCAGCAACTTGCACGACAAAGCTTAACCCCAGGCGGGGAGTTTTGCCTGTAACATGGTAGTGTGAATGGCACAAGCAGTTTTGCACATTCACATTGATTTGGAGACATGTCAATGTGCGATGCAACTCGCAGGCTACATTGCAGCTTTAGCATCCTCGCCGCAAACGGTGAGAACGCTTTGCAAGCAGCCCCGAGGCTGCAGGATCGGACTTTCAGGAGGATGGGCACTTTCCACATGCGATCACCGGATATCACAGGTGCTTACTTGCAATCGCGAGTGGCTAAGTACACTAGGGTCACTAGGGGATTTGTGACAGACAAAGAACATTTGCAGGGAGGATGCTTTGGGTAGAAAGGTGAGGCTGTGCTTGGACTTCTTGTGAGCTACGCTGCAGTCAATGATAATGCCCTCCCCGTGAGATAGAAACAATGATGTGATATGATTGATGGTTTAACGAGGGCCAATTTGAGAGTTGCTTTGGTAGAAGCATACAGTATAGAAACGCAACTGCTCAAGAGCCGCAGGAGTGAAGTGAAAGGAATTCTGCATTTTGCTCCAAATGAAGGCACGATGTCATGAGTCAGGCCAAGAATGTCGAAATGAACCGAGGTTCTTCAAGCAGTATGATGCCAATGCAAATGGGGTCTTGGAGTTTACAGAGGTGAGAAAATTGGCAAGCGACCTCTCCATTACTTTGGGCATTTCGATCGATGAAAGCCGCTTGAAAGAGCGTGCCTCGGCTGCTTCAGCTACAGTATCAAGCTGGGCACCTTTCCGCAACACTGATATAGATTTGTGCAGTGCAAACCTTTACAGCAGCATCTATGTCCAATCTGGGTTCCTGCAACTGCCAAGGCAAGTGAAAGCTCTTTGCCTTCCAAAGTCTGAGTTTCTGAGTTCATTTCTAGTGCAAGGCTCGTTTTTCCCATCATTCCAAGGCTTGGACACAGCAAACAGCAGTGGCGATGCTGCACTGTCGTTGGATGCCTTGTGCAGCTGGCTGCCACAGCTCGTGGAGAACCAGACGCCACCGGCGCAGCGCATTCTTCCAGCCGAACAAGCACCTGCTGTGCCGAAGGGACATGTGGAGGCCTTGAGGAGGTCTCCCAGGAGAGAATGAAACGTGTTGAAGACATTTGAAGACTAGAAGAGGCGTTCTCGTACTTCTAGTGGGAATGTGTAGTGACCTCCAAAGCTTAGAAGGAGAGCACTGGGAAAGAACGGAAAACATGAATTCGACCGAAGACATGCAAGAAGAGTAAGAAAGAACTGGAAAGGCAAGGGATGGAAAGAGCAAGACAGGAAAGCAGAACATTCGTAAACTTAGAGGGATGATGTTATAAACGTCGTAAGACGTAAACGAAGAGAAAGTCAAGTTTCCCTAAAATCCTAATCATTGGTGCGCGCTATCCTGCGTCCATATGTCGTAAGCAGCTAGAAGTCACCACTCTTCTACCAGCTACCCTACCTACCTAAGCCTACCCCCCACAAATAACAACAAAAGCGTCAAAACGTCTCGAAACGTTTTGGTGACGTCCAAGACGTCAGGCATCAAACGTCGATTGGCAGGATCCTGGTGCAGCTGTGTCGCCAGTACTTTCGGATGTATGACAGAAATCAAAATTCTGTTCTTGATGATGCTGAGCTCATTGTTTTGGCAAAAGACTTGGGCCAATGTTTGGGGGTGACCTTAGGGTCCCAGAAGGAACTTCAAGACTCCATTGTCCGCTTCAGCGACGGCAGTGATTGCCTGACCTTCGGCGAGTTTGTTTGCTGGTTCGCCACTATGATGGGCGTTGAGTCGGCCGCCATGAAGGAGATCAATGCCTTAGCATCACCAACAGCGTGACATGCGTTGGCCTTTGGATCTTCATTTTTCTTACAGCTTGCTGATGTGCAAGCAGTAAGGCCGAGAGCTGCCCATCAGGTCAAATCAAGAAAAATTGGGCCTCGTCGGTGCACAATGCAATCCACACGGCACTGTCGTTTTGGCTTGATTTGTGCCAATGTGCGGAAAGGGTGGCCTAGTGGCCCAGTGATGGTTGAAAGCGGCATGCTTTCCAATTCGGCACAATTTTGCTGCAGGGTTTCAGTGGTTTCGGCTTCAGTGGATTGTAGTCAACCAACCAGCCAGTTGGAATTTCCTGGCATGCATTCAGGTCGCATGCATTCCCAAGCTTTAGTCTGTGTGGCGATGCGCTTTGTGGCCGAAGCCCCCAAACCAGATTTGCCAGGTCATGAGCCATTTGGGCAGAGCCAGAGCTTTTTCGTGCCATGCAACAATACCGGAATAGCCGATGTGTGGCACTTCCAACACAGCATTCTTGGAAAGATGTCTAAAGTCAAGAAATATTATTGCATAAATGCCACATCTTCTAGATTCTAGATGCTCAGTTCCAATTATGAGTTCATAGGCACCATAGACATGGTACTTGTACTGACCTTTGGCGTTTGTTGCAACATTCCAGAGCTAAAGCAAGCAAAGAGTTCCCTTATTGCTTGAGACGGTGTTTTTCGCTCGCTACAGCTAGCTTTTACGGGGACTGTTGGAACAATACCAAACAACAAGACGCAGAGGTGGCACATGGTGGCACTATCATCCCCCATCAATTTAAGTTTGCGTTTGCATCCTTGATCGCATTTGGGAGGTTCACAATGACGGAGCATACTGCCAGCTCACCAGAATCTTAACTTCAGCTCTCCAAGCCACTTGATGGATGAAAAGGACCTCTCGAAGCCGCAGCCTTACTAATGCAAGAGCACGGATGCAATACATGGTGCCACCAGACTCATGTGCTGCATCATATCAGTGCACAATGTATGCATGTGGGTGAATATTAGACGATAATTGGATGATGATATTGTATATACACACATCTCTCACATACAACACACACACACACACACATATATATATATATATAAATAGAGAGAAAGGTCAAATTGGGAACGATTTGTGCATGTCCTGTTAAGTTGGCCGGACATGTTGACCTCGAATCAATGTTCAACTAATTAAATTTAAGCTTATTTGCAGATGTTACCGAGGCCTGCCGCAGCAGCATCAGCTTCAGACGTTCACGCTGATGTGATTGGAGCAGCAGAGGAAGACCTGCCTTTCCTGCCCAATTTTTTACAAGGATCCAGCCTTCAGACTATCATTGGGAGGCCTGGAAGATGCAGACTGGCTCCGTAAGACCGTGAGATGTAGCAAAGGTAGCGCAAACACAACGAGGCTAAAGTACATGTGGCAAGTGAATGTGATACTACTTCCAGATTGGCATATGGAGGGCCTTTACAATTCTTTACAGTATCCTTACTAAGGCGAATCTTAACACAAGCCGGTCAAAATATCAGTCATAGCACCTCCTTCAAGTAAGTCAGTTGCCCGTTAAGGCCTCATAAGAATGAGCGCCATTGTTGGAGAAATCGGACCTGCCGATTGGCTTTGCTGGTGCTTGTGGTCTTGATTCTTGGAACCGCTTGCCTTGCATCACCCGTGGTCGTAGCAATCCTTGCCTTGTCCTACTGGTATAATCATGGTAAGCATGATGTGCCTTGCCCCTGGTACATGCACGATGCCTTGTGCAACTGGCCTCGCCTTTATGGAGGGTCTTCTGGAGCTCTTCCTGCATTGAATATCTCTGAGGGAAACATGCTATGGCAGGATCCAAAGGATCCAAATGTGCAGGAAGCAATGTCAGAGGCTGTGAAGGCATTGCGTCATGCACAGCCGCAGGAGTTTGAGAAAGACCTCTGCAACTTCATAGAACTGTGGTTGCCACGTTTGGGCCTGAACGGGCTCATTGACTTGCTGCTTGGATTGGAGATGATCAGAGAAGGAAATGAGGGAGTTGTGTGGGATGTTGATCTGGATGACATGAGAGAGGAGCTTGTCGAGATTTCTGAGAACTGGAAACATGACCTCGGTGCTTATGTGATTGCTCGACTGCAATATCATCCAGTTGCGAGCCTCGGACCGTAATAGTGTTCCATCATGCCAGATTTCTCGGATTGGCAAGCAGGATGTGGATGCCTTTTTATATGTTTGTTTGAAATGTGAGGGTCAGGGATGTCACAAGCATATGCTCAAAGGTATAGCATTCTCATGAAATCTAAAATAGTTTTCCTAATTTGGCTTGGAAAAACCGTTGCTTTATGGCCTTGTGCATGCCCCTAGCCACAAATCTTGTTGGCGCATGTTGGCACACGGCACACAAAAGTAAGGCCAAACCTTGAACCCTTCCATTGATTTCGCTATGCTTTGCTTCATGCTTTATACTTTCAGACCGGTGTTCTAGAGACTTGGTTGTCAGGATGCGTTTTTTTCCATCCATAGGGTTCATAGGAACTTGGATGAGTTGCCAGGAACCGGACAAAGTATGTGAATGATGCTGCTCCTTGGCTCAGAAGGTGCAATGCTTTTTACTAGTAGCTCCTGGCCTTAATATTTTTATATATTGTCCTGTTCTCCCGGATGAGATGCCCATGTGAAGTTTCCTTTCAAAGTGAACAAAAGCATGATAAGCGTCATGACATCGCCCATTCACAAAGTGTGCTATGGGCAGTTGAGATATAGATGAGATCTACTGGTCTAGTTGATTCATGGGCCTTTCTTAATGACAACATCATCGTCCAAGAGAAACGTGGATTCAATAACACATCTACAGCGTCTACATAATATTTGGCAGGTCGTGCCGTCAGAAGCGTAGAAGAAACGGCTGATGGATGAAATCCTGCATCAATGCTTGGACCTTCAATTTGTACAATGGTTTTGGCGATTTGGGGCGCTAAAGAACGCTCACTTTGGAAAGCCTAAACTTAAGGAATGTTGTATCAATCAAAATCATTCGTCAACCTTCGCCCTGCAGATCACTCACAGCATCAAAAAATGAGCTGTAGACCTACAAAAATCTACAAACAAATTGCGCTCGTTTGCGTGTATGTGTGCGCGTTTTGCAGCATTTAGCGCTTGGATGTCGCATTTGTTTCATAATGTATGCCAATTCATGCCTCAATTCAATTGCCGTTTCTTGGACCATGCCACTGAAGGCTTGTCGCGCCTCTAGCATGCACACTTCTCACATTACCAGTAGCCCCAAGCCCACAAGCTCAAACTCAAACATGATCGAATATTTTCGAATTTGGTGTTTTGCTCGCGTCTCTAATCATAGGATATCATAGGAGAGTCTGCCGAGTCCGCAAAAAGAACATACAAAATGAACACAAGTCAAGAACAAAAGATACAACACGAAAGTATTGTGGCATCATTCGAAGGTCCACGTGCGTTAGCGCATGCTGCTTTTGGAAAGGCACAGATGGGTGGTGCATATGTTTTTGTCATTCAACTTCTTCCTCGTCGGGGGTTTTGTTCTCTCAAGCAAATGTTGCATGGATTTGGTTCATCGACTGAAGGGATACTGAAAATTGAAAATAGCTGTGGAGGAGCGATGCTACGGTATTGTTCACAATCCTTTGCGCATATGTCACCTCGTTCATCGTGCTCGAAGCATCGTGTTTGTTTGGTTTCGGGACCCAACAAGCTCAAAAAACAATAGTAACACATTATAAAACATGTAATTACACAGTAATATATAGACAATAATGGACAAAGTCAAACACACAGCCAGCTGTTTGCTTGGTTGCTTGGTTTGCTGTTCAGAGGTCGAAGTGGCGGGTTCCTTAAAGCTCACTGGTGGTCCATTGCATGCGATCACCTGGATGGAAATGACAACCTTCCTGCGACACTTGCCTTGGGAACGCTTTACAGACAGGATTGCATTGCCAAAGTTCGTTGGGGCAATCTTCAAGACAATCCGAGGTCAGTATGCGGAAGATGAAGACTGATGAAGTATGCGAATTTAATCAAAGTTACATGAACCAAGTTTGTGGAAAAACTTCCCGACTTCAACAAAGATTTTCTGCTTCAGGAAACCTTCCCCCTCCACAAATTCCTTTTCGACAAAACCCCTAGCGTAATCCCCTTCTTCATTAGCTTATATAGTCTCCCCCCTTCCACTTTACCGGTAGCAATTTGTTGCTTCGTTTGACCTCTTTCCTTTTAGCACAATTTTATCAGTTTTGCTGTTTCTGCCCTGGGCATGGGTCCTGAATCCCCCCTGTTTGGGTATCCTTACATAGTACTCGAAACACACCGTTGAATTCTGCCAGTGAACCACTCACTAGCTGCAACCTTCTTGAGCGCCATGGTGGCCTGATCGTCCATTATTCCTAGGCTGATTAGCTACAACATGCCACAACAGAACTTGCACAGACAAATGTAGCTGAGGGCATGAATTACTGTATATAAATAGACGCCGTGATTCCAATTATAGCGTCTCCCGCTCTATCCGACAAGCACCTCTTTAACCTTATATTAGAATTGTAAAGGACCAAGTTCAGGATTTAGCAAAGGCTGTTTGGACAAGTGTCCAGTTCATTCATGTTAGCCTTTCCCCGCAACTTCCGAAATTTGCTTAGTATTTTTCCCAGGCCTACAGCCTACCGGATTGCTGGCAGCGGTTCCCTTTATTCCTCTTATTGGGATATATTGGGATGTATTTTTGAAATCTCAGTGATTCTTCCCGCGGCATCACCCAAGGATCCAAGGGATGGAAGGACGCCAACGGTTTGTGGGACTTTGCGCTGAGCAAGGCTTGCGTATTGTTCAAGGACCGTGTGTGCACATCAAGTTTGCTTCTTGTATACCTAGTGGCGGCCCCAACACTCCTCCTTTGGTCGGCATGCAGAATGTACTTCGTACACAGCACAACAGTCAACAAAAACAAGGATGCGTTAAACTTTATGGGACATTGGAATAGTTTCCGGTTAAAGTCGGTACTTCAGGAAATCCGGACATTGCTGCACTTCATTCAGAAGTCCTTCACCTGCAGCCCACAAACCCGTTAAAAGGTGTTCAAAGAATATGCATGTTGACGTCCACAAGCAGTGCTCATCAGTGGCAGGAGTTGCCGGGCTTATTTGTCCATTGTATCCACGGTGTTGGGCATGGGGCAATGGCATCTGGAGTCCTTTTGGCCATGGAACCAGGTATCTTTACTCTAAGTTTGCACTTGTTCCGACATTGCAATGGCAAAGTCCGCACTCTTAGACACCAGTGGCTCCGGCTAAGGTGAACGTGCGAAGTATGAGAAAATGGATGTATGCCCAAAGATTCGGCATGGTACTACCGGGCGCGCAATGACGCAGAAGATGCTGGACATTGCATTGGCGATTTGCCGGGATGCCCCCGACAAGCAGTTGGGTCACCCATACCTGGCCAGCAAGTGTTGCATAGGTTTGTGGTTGTGATTGTTGTTGTCGTCCGTTTTCTTCTTATTTCTATTCTTCTTGTTCTTGTTCTTGTTCTTCTTCTGTACGTTGCTCATTTGATGACAACTTCTGCGATACTCTTCGAGGAGGATGAATAGCACAAGTCTGGTGTCTCGAAGTAACCTGCGACATCAGGCGTACACTATATAGCCTCCTTCCAAGAAGCATGGATGGCACCCAGCGGGAACCAGACATGGCAAATGGTTTTCTTCGGGGCACACACAGATCCACACGCACACACATGTCACAAATATATATATATATACACCCTCTCTCCAAAATTAAGTAGGTTGGCGGTTGTTACGGTGGAGGGTGACAATATATATATATAGTTTGTCAAGAATCTTGCCATAGGCTACGTTTGTGCCGGTGGAGTCTTTATGGAGTACTGGAAATCTACAGGGGGAGACTGGACGCCTAAGCAGCTTGGCGTTTCTTGACCAGCTGTCCTTTTCTGTGCTTTCACGTCTCTGGTATCAATCCTTTCAAGCTTCGCGCGTAGTTCTGAAGACATGTTTTGCAGGGGTCTCGTAACTCGTATCTTGCAATTGATACTCCCAGTGCGAGGGATCTTGTTTGGATGGGTCTTTTGAAGACCACTTCAGAGATTCGCTGCCAGGTGCCTACTGTAGCAAGCTGCATTAGACCTTTATTCCTTATCTTTTTCTTTGTTTCCAAGAGCGATGGCCTCCAACCTAATAGAAAAATATGTAACAGAGGGTAGTGTCAGGCCCTGTGAAGTTTCTTATTTGGGGGGCATCAAGCTACTGCAAATGATAATGCTGGGCGCCGACGGTCCGACGGTAGGTCTTTCCACGGTTTGTCCACGATGTTTGTTCATTGCGTTGGCAGCGCCTTTGTCTCCAATGTAAGTTCCAACTTGTTCTGGGTGTGTCCATTCCAGAACCAAATGACCTGCCTGGCTTAGATGCTGTAAAGTAGGAGTTTTTTTGATCACATGGGGCGCACTTCCACATGTTATTTGCTGAAGGGCCTGACCGAGCAGAATGAGCATTAGATGCATGGTAGATTGATAGAAGCGGACACAGATTCATCTTCCTGGTGAACGGTGGACAGGGATTCCATTTGGAGCCCGAGCCCCCTCCTTTTTCTTTCTCTCTTTGTAGCATTGCCAACTAAGGGGCGATGGGTGAACCAAACAGTTCTTATTTGCATTTATTTGCTATCTTGTCTTTGCCCTATTTATTGTGGAGTTGGTTTGCGAGATCATCCATGGTCCATGTTTGAGATTGTTTGACTTTGGTGGACCATTGGCATTTCCACGCTGAGCCAACGTGAGACTTCAGAGGTGAACACCTACGGTACCACCTTGCCAATGGATAGAAAACCTTCACCCCGCCATTGGTCACGTGTTATATTCATGAGAACCCCCTTTTCCAAGGAAAGTTTTAGGGATGCCTTCTGCGAGCATGTTTGCATGTGTGTGTGTGTCAACCCCTGTACCTAAGGGTTCCACCTTGTTTTTAGTTTTGAATGCTTCTTCAGCAGGGGGGCAGTGGTCTTTTCAGCAGTCACTGCCTAACAAAAACACTGCTGATCGGATGTGACATGACTCTGGGACGCCGGAGTCACGTACCTGCATTTTCCAAACTGTTCACAAGCTGTCCAATGCATTGTTTCCTGCAGCTGAGCCGCGTCGACGTTCGCCACCGCAGACATGTCAACAGATTGTTCAAACAATACAAGTGCGCTGACCCTTTCACCTGGCGTTTCCCTCACCTTCCTTCTCAACGTGGGAATTGAGTTAACAGCAAACCAATGTCAGAGTGCGAACCGCTCAGCCGTCCCACTAGGGTGCTGGGTGTGATCCTCCGCAAGGAAGCGCTGTTCTCATGCCGGAAATCGTGTCACAGATTCATCGTTTTTTCATCGTGAATTCTCTTAACAGCCTTAGTCTCACCACTGAATTGTTTGAATAAGAAGCCGCCGGGCTTTCACGGCAAAACACCCGCTTACTGACACCATAGCCGCCGGGCTTAAAAACGGAACTCCACCTGAGGTCAGGCATGTATCCCAACCCCCCCTCCCGCCGAGTTCTACTCCCCACCTAATGAGGGCAACACAGGGAAATGGTACTCGACACGCTTGTGTGTCGGTGCCTTTCCCTTTGTTGTTCCTGTTCTAGTCTTCTCTACCCGGGCGGTCTAAGACTAAAGTCCCGCTCCCTAACTATTGCATTTAATTTGCCTCGGCTAAGTAGTCAGTAACTCTAGAGTGCTAAGTAGTCATACACACACACACGGACACACACATGCTCCATCCCCCCCCTCCCCCCCCCCCCCCCCCGCTTTCCTTCTTGCGCTTTTGGTCGTTTCTTGGGCTTTCTCTCAGGCTTTTTAGGTTGCTCTTGACGCTCGTTTCCCTACCCCAGTCAAGGGCTAAGTATTCACCCTTTTTTTTTCTACACCTACCTTTCTCTCTTGCCCTCTTAGCGCTGCTCTTTCTGTGTTTCTTTCTTTTGTTTCTAAGGCTTTTTAGGTAACTATTCAGGTTCACCGCACGAGCGCTGCAAAGCGGCACCGTGTGTGTGTCAACCCCTGTACCTAAGGGTTCCACCTTGTTTTTAGTTTTGAATGCTTCGTCAGCAGGGGGGCAGTGGTCCTTTCAGCAGTCACTGCCTAACAAAGACACTGCTGATCGGATGTGACATGACTCTGGGACGCCGGAGTCACGTACCTGCATTTTCCAAACTGTTCACAAGCTGTCCAATGCATTGTTTCCTGCAGCTGAGCCGCGTCGACGTTCGCCACCGCAGACATGTCAACAGATTGTTCAAACAATACAAGTGCGCTGACCCTTTCACCTTGCGTTTCCCTCACCTTCCTTCTCAACGTGGGAATTGAGTTAACAGCAAACCAATGTCAGAGTGTGAACCGCTCAGCCGTCCCACTTGGGTGCTGGGTGTGATCCTCCGCAAGGAGGCGCCGTTGTCATGCCGGAAATCGTCTCACTGATTCATCGTCTTTTCATCGTGAATCACTTTAACTGCCTTTGTCTCAGTACTGAATTGTCGGAATCCAGAGCCGCCGGGCTTCCACGGATATTCTGTGTCTCCAGACTTTGTATCGACATGTTTGCAAGAACTTGTTATTCGGAATTCTTTTTTGCAGCTGCACTTTCGGTTTCAAGGATGTGTCATCGCATTTTGACTTCCAAGCTGTACAGAAGCCGGCGTTTTTTGAGAAAAAAGCAGACGATGCCACCTTCTCATGTGCCTGCGCCGACTTCGGCTACCTGTGTGTGTGTCAACCCCTGTTCCTAAGGGTTCCGCCTTTCTTTTCCACCACTGTTGCAGGGGCGTGTGACACTCTTATCCTATCACACGCAACGAAGCTGTGGATAAGAGTGGGAAGGGAAACTTTGCCAGTTTCCTGTGCCTGCGATGCAACTGTTGATCACGCTGTCCAATTTTGTTTTTTTGCTTCCATGGTGGTTTGCGTGATACCTCCCCTAAACCCTTCTTTTGCCGCCGTCAGCTGCCGCGCGCGCCGTTCGCGAACTGCAGATGTGCACCAAACCATTGTTGACACACCTTCAATTCTCTTGGACTTTTCACCATACCGTTCCCTCACCTTCCTTCTCAACGTGGGAATTCAGTTAACAGCAAACCAATGTCACAGTGTGAGTGTGTGAAACCCTTGGAAACAAAGGGAAGCATTTGATTTCTTTCAGCAGGGGAGTGGTGTGCAGTGTTGGAGTCACCACTCAACGAAGACACTCCGTGTCCTGCGGTGATATCCGGAGGGGACGCCTTCTGGACGCACCAGCTTGGTCGTGGCGTTTTAGTTACATCCCATTCGAATACTTAGGCTGCTTAGGTGAGATTTTCAGGTCGGCAGACATGCACCCGGTAGTCACGCACAGCTTTCGCTCTGGATTCTTTGGGGCTTCGCAAATGGAATTTGGAGCTTCGCGCCCTCAAGATGGTCAAACCGCTACTTGTTTACCCAGACAATTTTTTCACTTAGGCTTCTTCAGGGCTTGGGGCGGTCAGTTCTGTACGCATTTTCCGAGTGTGACTGGCTTCATGCCAGCCCAGGGTGTACCCTGTGGCCTTGCTGAGCTAGGGGTTGTCTATGTCCCTGCGCCCGACCATTGCCCACTGGGGCCTGTCCTAACTTGGGTGCACACACAACATATACATAAACCAGGCCACTGCCATCATCTCATCCCTTTAATTCTTTTTTGCGCACACATTGGTCCGACCCTGAGCATATTCGTGCACGACTACATCCCTAGGCGCTGGGCCAAGTGGCATTCAGATTGTAAGTGCTTCAGCTTGAGTGTGGCAAACCCGTTTCCAGGGGCACCCTTCAGTAAAACGTACCTGCTTTAAATTTGGTTCAGCTGGTTGTTTGTTCACGATGGCCCATGAGACTGAACATGCTTCGTTCAATATAAATACAAAAATCGTTTAAATGCTTAGAACCCTGAGTAAAGTTCCAGCTGTCTCATGTGTTGGTTCGCTGCAAACAGCTAATGCAACAAAATGCGCGCGCAGAAAAGAACTCCTGAGTCTGGTACCACCTGGTGCGCTCTTCTGGGTTCCTTCTCAGTGACGATGCGCAACATTTGGGTTAGGTGTGCTGTGTGATCCCTTCTTTTGATCTCTTGGCGCTGTTTGCTGGGCTCTACTCTTTGAGGGGTCTACACTTAATTGGTGTGAACGTGACGAATTCCTTCACATGTTGTGAACTTTGCTCAGGTATGATGGCCAGGCTGTCTCCCGAGAGCCGGATGTGGTTGTGGAGCTTGGTTGGTCAAACAACCATGACAGGGTGGCGGGCCCAGCTACCTCGGATCAGGATGCATACATTTTCTTGCTGTATATTTTAACATGTTGACATGTTTTGTTTGTTTTTTTGCAAGTGACGCTGTCAGGTTGCGGATCCTCCGGATGAAGTATGGTCGTGGCTTGCCCTACTGCGTGTTGTGCTCCAGTTTTCTTCGAAGAATTGTTTGTCCAACAAAGCAAAATGAAGGTCGGAGTTATGGAAAACTGCAACACAATTTCCATGTGTGTGTCTAAGAGGTGAGTCAAGGACTGGAACAGTGTTTTGTAAGAGCGCCTCGGGGCTGTGGGACAGTTGCGCTCGTCCCAGCCCTGTGGTCACAGGTGTTCTGTTTAGTTATCAGTTATCTATAAATCTATAGGTGTTTCAACGTAGGAGGGTTTTGAAAAGGCATTGGCAGGGCTGCCCGGCGTGAGTCAGGTTTCTGTAGGGTTGCAATTCCATTGAGGAATGCAACGGAAGGTTTAAATTGCGTAGCCTGGGCTTCGCAAGGTGCTGGGTTCTGTGGGATCGCAGTTCTGTTAAGGAATATGTAATACAACTGCGTTTAGACACGCAATGGCAGGGCTGGGGCAGGTGTGTGCTCGGCTGCTGTGGGTTTCCTGAGAGCTTTTTGACATGACTCTGAGAGGTGGAGACTGCTTTAGAAACGTGTAGGCGCCAGGATTTCTAGAGCGAGAGTGAGAAGGGGCACAGGTAAGCAGAGATGTTAAGAAGACATAGATAAGTAGACTCTAGAGACTCTTCGAAAAGTTGTGACAAGCGGAGTTTTCTGGACATATGTAAATATGTAGTTGTTATGACTATGACTCTATAACTGTATAACTATAGGCAAAGCAGAAAGAGTTGTAGAGGGAAGTGCAGAAAGCGGGAAGTGTTTCAATTGTAAGGGCTAGAGCGGCTAGAACGTAGATATTTGCGGATTTGCAATTGTGGTTGCACTTCCTCACCGCACACTACATCATTACATCATCAATCTTCATATCACCGCAAACCACCACACACGACATTACCTTTTCCAGACATCACAAATCACACCACACCACATCCTTACGCATAAGTACACTTCACAACATCACAAATCACCGCAACAACCAACAGTGGATTCATCCTTTTGAAACTTGTACCTCTTGTGGTGGGGACTGTATGTGTGGCGGACGTTCGGAAGCACTCCACACACAGCCTTGTCATGACTTGTCAGTTTGTTTGGGTTGCCATCCATGCTTGAAGTTTTGCCCGCAAGCTTATGGTTTTGCTAAGGTTTGAACACACATGTCTATATTCTGACTTTCCAGCGACATGCTTTCGCTTTGAGCCTGGCCTGGGGGTAGAGACACAGCTCTTGGGTCGCAGTAGCGTCAGGTACGGAGTCATTTGGTTTTGTTTTGAGAGCTGGCAGATGGGACATGACTGGCAGGCCTCATTTTATTTGTCATTATTTATTACTACCTTGTGGTGTTTCGGCCGGCATGTACCAAAATGGCGTTGGCTCGCGCATTCCAAGGCGAAATTCCCTCAATGATTTGGAAGATATCTCAATCTATGAGCCGTGTAGCTGGGTTTTGTTTTCTTAAATAACTTGGTTTGTTGATGTTTGTTGTATTTATGCCTTGTTTGTCTAGTATATATAGGCTACAGTACAGTATGTTCTTGTTTGTTTGTATGCTTTTTCCGCTTCCAGGAAAGCCAGGAAAGCAGCTCCTTGATACTCGCTTGAAACCAAGGTACCCAAAGCTCTTGGAGCAGCAAAGTGACTTTCGACCCAAAGCACCTCCGCGGTTGCATTTTGGGTCGCTCTTTCCATCTCTATCGGGACTTCGATTTCTGGCGTCATGGCCGCTACGCCATGAAAAAGGGCCAACTAGGACTGGGTCAACTCGAACGGCTCTTTACTTTAGCAGAGTGGTGCTCCATGTATGAGCCTCAAGGCGCGATCCCGCAAGTTTATCGTTTTTGGCCAATGAAGACTCAAGAAGTCTCGTCCTTTTTGCCACAGGTGCCTCGCATTTCGCCAACAAGACCACGAATCTGGACTGCAAGTTGTGAGGTAGAAACAGAGAGACATGCGGTCGGATCATGTCGGATCTGAATCCGATCCGTATTTCATTGAGCAATATATCGGTAGACTATCAGACATGATGAAGAGATCACATCCGGTTGAGCCATATTGGCAAATGCCCAGCCAAATCATTTTACAATCAATATGATTCGCCAGATTTCGATTGCATTCGTACTTCTCAGGACGCTGAAGTTGAAATTCCCCACCAATCCGATGCTTCGGACTTATGGGAACTGGCTGGCCTGCATCGCTGGTTCTATGGCTAGTGTGGCCTTCGTTGTGGACTTGATTCAACTTAGAGGATGTTAGAGGGTGGTCGATGGGGCCATTCCAATGTAGCATGCCTTTTGAAAGCCACCCGGGGGTGAAGGGTAGGGCAGGCAGGAGCCGTTCCAACGTAGCATGCCTTTTACGAGCGGCGTCTTTTTTGGGCGTTTGATGCCCGTGGCATTATCCTCTATAAAATCTAGGGGACTACCTCTGTATAATTCTGTATAAAACTTTTTAAGATGAAACCCCTCAACGGGTGGGTACCCCATTTTATAGTCGTGAAATCAGGCTTGCCAGATTGCTGCGTCAAGATTTCGTTGGATTTTGATGTGTTACTTTGCTGTGATCTTTCTTGGCTTATGATTAAGTGCGTCAAAAAAATGCGACAGAAACATAATTATATACAGTAGAGATGTGCATGGACAATTTTACGTGCGCAACATTCTTGAATCAATAAGATAAGTAGTTTGGAGACTATGGAAAAACAATGTACAGGATGTCACTGAAAAAAGTCATCTTCCTGTAGCGATTTTCAGAATGCAACCATGGCTGAAAGAATGAACTTCGCGGTTGCCCGACAATGCGTCTCTTGCCGTATATTTTTTGCTAAATGGAGGGAGGAAACTAAGAGCTTATTGTGTGGAATCAAGAATTGGATACTTTATCATCTTACGGAGTGTCTTGCAAGTACCTCCATAAGAAGCGTGTTGTTTTAACATAGGGTTATAAAAAAAAGCTGTTTCTATCTCTGGAGTTTTCAAAAAAGGAAATTAATAGGAATAAGATAGGACCCCAAAATAGGAATAAAATAGGGCAGAAAACAAGAACAAACATGAAATAGGAAACAATTAGGATCGAATATTTCAGATTTACCGGAAGGCAGGTGGCTCATTCCGATGAGACGCATGGTCAGACACAAGTGAATGAAACTGGATATGTAATAGCAGTGCGGCAATGCACAGCTAGGCCGGCATTCGATTGGAATGATTAGATTAGATTAGATCTGATTATGTCCTTTCATTTTCCTTTAAAAATTGATTACTTCCTTTCATTTTCCTTTAAACAAACTTCCTTCAATTTTCCTTTTAAACGTTATTCTTTTAATTTCCCTTTAAGCATATAAATTCCTTTCATTTTCCTTTAAAAATGATTAGTTCCTTTCATGTTCAATTCAAAATGATAAATTTATGTAATTTTCCTGTAAAACAATAAATTCATTTCATTGTCTATTTAATTTGTGTTTATTCCCTTTTTTTGCTATTTGGGGGGGTGCGAAAATCGTCCTATTTTTCTATTTTCAATTCCTATTTTTTCACAAAATAAGAAAAATAAACAAATAGGAAAAATAGCACCACCAAAAAAATAGTAAAAAATAGGAATAAAAACAATCAAAAAAAACAAAACATAGATTTAAGGAATTTATTAATTTTAAAGTAAATTCAAGGAAATAACTAGTTTTTGAAAGGAAAGTGACAGGATTTTGCTTAAGGAAAATGGAAGGAATTTATCATTTTTCAAAGGAAAATGAAAGGAATTAATCATTTTTTAAAAGGAAAATTAAAAGACTTTCTATTTTTTAAAGGGAAATTAAAGGAATCTATATTTTTCAATTGAGAATGAACGGAGTTAATAATTGTTTAAAGGAATATAAAGTATGCTTTAAAGGAAAATGAAATGAAGTAATCAATTTTTATAGGAAAATGAACGGAAATTTGCTTCCAGTATGTTGCTTCCAGTCATTTGCTCTTCGTATCCATTTCATGTTCCTGTCCTAGAGTGATGCCATTTCTTTTTCTATTTTTGAGACTCATCCTCTTAGTGTCCTTTTTTTTCCTATTTTCAGTTCCTATTTTTTCTATTTTATTCCTATTATTTTCCCAAATTAACTATTTTAAGGTTTTTCAGACATAGCAGGCAGCTTTATGTCATAAACATAGGGTGTTCCTTCTAAGCTCTTGGGCGGCATCCGGAACTGCATCGACGAGATGGATGCACCATCTTGGAACCGCAAACATCAGTTTTGGGGCTTCTTGGTATGAAATACAAAATGATGAAAACATGTAGAGCATGTTTCAACCAGCTTCCAATGTTTTTGTGGTGTGGTGTTGAGAGGTCTGCTATTTGCACACTTTTTCTTGGAAGAGTTTCCTTTACTGAAGCACGCTAAGTTAGCAGATGCCAGATGATTACTGGTCGTCCATCATAGCATTATTGCTACTTTGATCCCGGCACGTGCCTTGGGTGATCAAGAGGTCTCAAGATTGAAAAATGAACTCGTAATTTTTGAAAGTGAGATTGCGCAAACAAATAATGTTTAACGAGCAGTGTCTCAGGCAGGCATGGACTTGGACGCTGCAAATCTCACGCTTGGCAAAAGCTCGGAAGGGAGCCAAGAAGGCCGGAATCGTTGACCGTTCATCATCCCACAAACTGTGGAGAAATTTGGAGCACGTGGTAGGCTGCCTTTGATATCCTTTGACTCTTTGACATCTGTGTCATTTTGACCGTTGGCCCGCTGGTTGGAACATGCATGAAACACGCGCGCAAGCAATTGTAGGAAAATAGGTTCTTGTCCACTTCGCTCATAGCTGGAGCCATGGTCAGCGGCAAAGTGTGAGAAGATACTGCAACCTCAATCTCTGAGAGGCAGACCCTTGCTGTATATGGAGTAGTTGGGATGTGTTGGGATGATTGGAAGAAGGGTAAGCAAAGGATAACAATTGGATGTTATGGGCACACCATGGTAAACGTAACTGACTTTTCAACATAGATGTTTTTTGATTCACCAAACCACACAATATCTAGATTGCGACGTTGTGGCCTCTATAAAAATCACGGGCCCAACCTGGCAGAAGCCAATAAAGCCCTATAAATATATTTTGGACGCGCTCAAGATTCAGGAACGAGTGATGTCGCCGCCTCTATATTGATCAGACGCGCGATTGTATAGTGAAAGTGTCAGCCTAGGTGGTTTAAGGCTGAGGGGCACATGCGCTTTCTCACCTTGCTTGTCGAGCTGCTGGCTTGGGAGAGCGCCGTGGTTCAAAATTTGTAGATATATATATAAGATATTTTTTATGAATTTGTCTGGCTTGAGCCAGACAATACAGTACCTCTCACAAAAACGAAATTCTACATGAATCTCAGGTGTCCGTTCTATGGACTGCATCGACTTTTTTGGCGCATCAGAGAAGGTGGCGCCTCTGGTGTGCAGCGTGAATCAAAGGTAGCTCAAGCATGTGCAAGCCAAGGCACTGGCGCGCACATGTACACATATTCCTGCCCAGGAAATGTTGGCGCAAAGCTGGCTACACAGCCAAATCCTAAAAGCTCAGCAATGTCATGTTTTAGCGTGTTTTTCAATGTCTTATATGTCTTGTATAGTTATTGTTTGGTGGACGGGTCAAATTTATCTACTGTAAAATGAGAGAATATACACCCCAAGAGCTTATAGAAACCTTTTAGGTCATCCAGCGCCACCTAGCAAAAAAGAGTATTGACGTTAGAAAGCAAGCCAACAAACCAAGCAATCATTGGTATACCCATTTTATAGAGCACAAACACTTGAAAGCCATGAGGCGACAGGAAGCCGTGAGCTCATCGACAATTTTTATGTGGATTTGACAGTGGCTTCAAAGGAAGCAGTGCTTGCGGATCAGAAGCAGGTGGTGGGTGAATGGCTTGCAGGCGCCATCAAGGAGGACAACAAGTTCAGAAGTCGAGGCAGCGCCGCGCCAGGACCTTCAAAGCGGCTGCCCGCGCAGCCAAGAGATCTCGTGTTGTCAAGAAGTGTTTGCGCCCAAGGCAGAGCGCAAGACAGCAGTGAACCCAGCGGCCGCTCCCATCGAGTACCCCAGAACTTCATCCAGCAAATGAAGGCGACGCAGGAGTTAGACAGGACCTTTTCAGCAAGTGTCCAGCATTTGACTTGTCATCTGGACGCCGCCGTCTCAAGTCCCAGGGTTGCTTTTTTGATGCAGCTTTTGGTGCTACTTAGTATATTTTTTGTAGATGAGCAGCATGTTGCATAGTATCTGAGGATTCCATCAGCTGCCGCCCAGAAATTGGTCACACAGCCTGGAGAAACCGCCAGCTTTCTCGGCATACGTGTTTCAACGTTTCGAAACAATTCGCAAACAGCTCACTGACAAGACTCCCGTGAGGGCAGCATGGTTGAGGCTGCTCCGGGATATCTGTGAGTTTAGTGGGTAGCAGCTCTCGAAGACATTTCGGGAACGAGATCGCATAATTCAATAGAATCCATTAGATTTAGAACAACCATGACTGACATGGAAAGCACACGCAGGTCAAACAAACAGACCAAACACATGTTCACTCAAAATACTCCATCTGAACATTTCATGCCAGTGTGGTTCTCCTCATAATCCATCTTTAGATTGTTTCCTGTTGTTGCAGATGCTTTTGAGTGTTCTTGTTTTCATTGAAAGTGCTTTCTTTCAAGTGGATGCACTGGGCCACCAAAGTTTGATCCCAGCTCTGTGATTTTCCTTCCAACATTTTCCACGCGTTCAGTGCTCAGTGTTTCCGTCTTGCAGTCAAGAATTTGGTGTTACAAAAACCTACAATGATTTTGTAGTGTTTGGGGAAGGGTTTTTTCTTGGGATCTAGAAAACGCATGAAAAAAACGTCATGCAAAAGATGATGTTCTCAGCCTGCGCCAATGGCGTGCGTGGCATTGCGGGAATCAGGGGTTACAGACAAGGTCAAAAAACAAATAACGATGGATGCCGATGGAAAAAAGTGTGCAACTTAGCTGTCCAGACATGCTCAAGAGGCTTACGTTGGGGGGGGTCATTTCATATGAACTGCCGAAAGGTTCTTTGTTTTTAAGCTATATTGCCTAAGGGGGGTGAGTCCACTTGTATCTATAAAATGACATCCAAGTCCCCCTCATGAGAATTGCAATGAGTATGGTGTTTGTGTTGTTTCTGGTGTCCCGCCCCACCGCCGCCGCAATGCATTTTTTCGTTTTCAAGCACTTCTGGCCAAGTCTGTGCGGAATTTGCTGTGTGTCCAGATGCACTGGGGAGACGCGTCAAGATTTGGGTGTGAACATTCCCATGTCTTAGCTATATATTCATTTTTTACGTCTCACGGCTGGTGTCCATTTGTATGGGGTTTCCCTTGCATTATGGGCGTGGTGGGTCTGGGGCCAAGATGTTTGCGTGCATGGTTTGTACGTCCACGTACCTGATGCTTTGGTTGGGGCGAAACGGAACAATTCCTCAATCAACGATTTTTTGGGGCAAACCATTTGCATGACACATTCCATTGTGATCCACATGTTCATGTTGTTGTCCCCCACAGCGTCTTCAGGACGTTGTGCCTACATAGTAGTGGGTGTCTGAATGGAGTCGCTACACATGGGTGCTGAATCTGGGAGATCGAGCACCTATAACGTTAACGATTGTATGGACACCCCTACCGGGGGTTTGGGACAACGTAAGGGCACTTTCACTGACAGAACGCCTGTGGAATGAAGGTGGATGTTGGAAACACCTTAAACAAATGTCTCTGAAGGTGGAAGAAGAAGGTATCGAGGATGGCATCGTGGAGGATCATTGTGAGCAGATTTTGGATCAGCAGCTTGAAAGGAACGAATTTTGAGTCGGGTTTCTCTCTTACCGGGAAAATAGGGCGACATCAATAGATTGTATTAAATCAATCAAATCTAATGTTTTTCACCCACTTCATTTGTTCATGGCCAATGACAGGTGGCCTACAAGCTGTGGGTGAAGTCAATGTGCAAATGAAATGATGCATGCTATGAGACGGATGGTGTTCGCAAAAAATCATTGTTTCGGCTTTGGCCAGGGTGCTGTTCGGTAGGGGAAAGGCAGAGATCTTGTTATGGGAGTTGTCAGGGTTTGTACTTAGAACCGTCCTTCAGAGATACATATGCTATCTATATATATCCATATATTTGTTTTTGATGTTTGTTTGTATGGTTTTTGCTGGCTGTCTATGTTCAGATTGTTGGATTCAAGAACCTCGGGTTCAGAAAATACATGACAACAGGGGGATTTGTGCCTCCAGTGGTTTTGAGCAGAGTATATATGCTCGCTACGTACGGCCTTAAGGCGTGGTTTGCGACTTTGCATCGACATTGGTTTGAGCCGCCACTTGCGAAGTCTTCCAGAAATGCGTATTTGGCCTAATGAAATCCTGGAGCAGGAAGATGTCCAACCGACCTAGGATGACACAATAACTTGCCAAACTTAGCATGTCACTGAAGCTGTCTTCGAAGCCTACCGTCAGAAAGAGAGAGGAGACTGATGGAGATCGATGCTCCCAGCACAGAAGGATGTCAGGTCCTGATAGGACGACACTGGAGTCACTGGAGGTCTCCCACTTTGGAAAGTTCGGCTATCAATGGCCATCCACTTTGCGAAGCACGGGTGAGACCACAGGACAAGATTGTTATGTCTACAAAAAGGTGCAAATATTGCAATGTCCGGATGCAAATGAGCCAAACCAGGTGGGGTGTTTGGCGCGATAGGGTCGGGCACTTCTTTCAATCTGAAAGATTTGGCAGCTGCAGCTGCGAGAGGCCCATAGGGGTCAGATTCTTAAGGCCAGGATGACTAGGTCAGCATAGCGAGAACCCTTTGGACTCGAATAGCCATGCTTGCTTGTGCTTGCTTAAAAGAAAAGGAAAGATGCACGTAGTGCACGCAGACAAGTGGCCTTGTCGCTTAGATCAAGACCTAGACTTGCGCACTGTCCAGAGCCTATTTTAGCAGCTTAGCAGATTTGTCATCTACTGCATAGTAGATAGCTCCAAGATTCTGCAGGCATCATTAAAAAACAGAGATTGACAAATCATGACGAATCCTGCTACCTTTTCGCCCTCAAGGCTGAAAGGCCACTTGATACCTGGTAGGGCGTGTTTGGGAGATGGTGGCCCTGATGGCTTTGAGAGAGCGTGCTGTCATTGTGGCTTGCTTACTGGCAGCCTCATTCGGATACAGCGAAGAGAACAATTTGCTTCGAGATGATGAGTGCAAGCAGTCCGGAAGTTCTTGCTCTCAATATGCACTGCAGAGGCGTGCTCGTCGTGCTGAGCTAGATGAAGCCTTCAACTGCAAGGATTTGCAAGACATTGACAATGCCAATTGCCAGCAAGAGGTGACCTGGGCCAAAGAAACAGGACTCAAAGAGCATCCCGAATGGTATCCTGGTCTTTCGTTTGAGTCTAGACTCATGGATTGCAATTAGTCACATTGTGTTTTTGTGGTTTGCTTCTGGAGTTTCATGTGTGACTCGAATTAGTAGAAACTCCAGGTTGTTTGTTCCGAGTTTTTGCTTTGGAAAAGCATTCCACTCATTGGTTTGTTTGGGTGGTGAGGCCCTTTGGAGTTTCAGTGCAAGGTCTACCAATCCAACCCAGACAAGTGTCCCAAGCCATGCGGCGTCTCTTGCAAAAAACCAGTGCCCCAACACACGGCCCCTGAGCCGTTCAGCTGCGCGACTTGGCATGACTTGGTGCAGGGAGCCGAGAAACAAGAGAAGCAACCCAGCATACGTAGCCTGAAGCAGCAAAGGCATGCTTCCTTATGCCAATGTCGAGTAAGGTAGGGAAAGAATCTGCAGAAGCATGCTTGTGCGTCTTTGACATCGACCGGACGCTGACCTCTAAGCAGGGAATGCAGGACAGCTTCGAATTGACTTGTTTCACGGAGAGTCAGGCTTTCGAGCGAAGGGAACAGTTCAGCAACGATGGGCAGCGAGTATGTAGCTAGTCTAGTAGTTGCCCAGGAGCATTGCCCTAACTCCAAGGCCACAGACGAGGTTATCGATACGGCCTACGGAGGAGGCGACCTGGTCCTATCGGAGCTTGCAGCTCTTGGTGTCTCGCATGAACTTCGTCCACTGGGCCCTTAACTCCACTCAGCAGTCCTGAACAACTCCTAGGAAATCTTGAAATAGATATAAACAGATCGTAGATATTATCTACTAAGTTACAACATTGATAAACTTCGAGCCGGAGCAAGTGACGCCAAACCTTCTCTCAAGGTCAAAAGTGTGACAGCCCAAGCCCTTGGAGCACATGGGAGAGCTCAAGCTCCAAACAACTTGCAATAATATGCAACATATTTTTTACATATCATATACACATACAAGGAGCGAAATGCTCAAGGTCGGGGAAGGACAGACTGACCGTACAAGTGGAGATGAGAAAGAGGTAACAGGTTGAAGCTTTGATTTGTGTATTTCACCAGATTCTACTTTCGGGCGAGAATGCCAGAAGTCTGATTTGAGGACTGTCAGAAACGTTTTGCTCAAAATGCTACACCGGCATCGTATCGCACGGAGATGGCAGTGGTCCATTCTCCAGAGAGAGGAAGGACAGATTTGCAATGAAGTGACATTCAGACATAGTTTGGATAGGAGATGTTTGACATGGGCGTGTCCAACAAGCATATCAAAACGACTGTATTTTCAAGACGTTGGCTTTGTTTGACTTCATGGCCGGACAATTACGGACCGCAAAGTGGTTGCAATTCTCATGCCATTGACTTTAGCTTTGTTGTTATCAACCTTGTCCAAAAGACTGGTTTGTCAGGAACTTTTGCAGGTGCGAAGGGCGAGAGAGCGCGCGGGTTCAGGCATTGGCATTGTTATTAGCACATATTTGCACATCAGCAGCCAGCAGCCTCGCTCGGCCATGTTAGAAGCTAGTCTGTGTGCGCATTGCCCTACTTCGCCTGTAAGAAGACTTGGGGCTATCAATGCTGGTTCGAAGACTCAAACAAAACTGCAAAACTTTGGTGTGTTCTGGAATATTCATGACGTTGTTCCTGAGCGCGTCCTGCACGTTTTAGGCTTTGAAGACAAATGCCATGGAGCATTTGGTACTTAAGCCATGGAATGCTGCTTGGAGTGCTACTGGACTTGAACAGTTTCAAGTGAAAGTCCAAGAGCTTCAGCCTTCAGCTTTATATACATATAGTTATATCTATATAAACTATATTTACGTGGTCATAACTGCAACATGAGCCTAGCCAAACCAAGAAAAAAACAATAAGTGACAAACAAGCTCCTGCCCTTGTGGGAAGCTTCAGGAAAAAAAGGAACAAGTAAGGGACAAATGGGGAGACAAATAAGAGGGAGTCATCAAAATACTCATTGCAAATCATTCTGACCCCACCCTGGGCTCGTTCATCCTAGGCCCGTAGGCTCACTCTCCACTTATGAGTCGACTCAGTCCAACAGAACGGAAGCACAGAAAGCTCCAAACGGAGCTTAACAGGTTTGCGTTTTTGGAGGTCACTCAGTTGCCGTGAAGAAATTGTATGAAATTGTTACAGGGGGATCTCACTCCTCAAAATTGGACTAATATTTCCTCGTCTCCCGATGTTCATTCCCGGCAACTGAATTTATACATATGTATAAATATTTGCTATATATGCAAGTTTTCTTGGTCTTGGCCGATGATATGATGATTATGGATGTCCCGCCTCCCCCTCCTACATTCCCTTGAAAACTGTGTATATGCTTCCTAAAAGCGAATTTCAGTTTCCCTTCCCTTGACATATATATATATATATATGTAGAGCTTCCCTCGATTTCCTGAGAATGGCAATGATAGGTCTCATAGTGTCCCCATGACTCCTAAGAAGTGTTGGTTTCATACAATTTCCAACAAGAGTATATGTGCATCAATCGAGAACCACACCTCATGAATACAATTAGGGTTGCGATACCGCCTTTCAGACATATTCTGGAACCAGAAGCACCGAAGAGAACAAGAATTACACCGGCATAGACCCGGATAGCAACTAACTCTACAAACAGAAGCAGCTGAGACAAAAAATGAAGCAGTTAGCCAAAGAAGCAACATGGGAGCTCCCAAGTGGGGAGACAAGGCAGCAGCGGCAGCGGTGGACCAAAACGCCGATCAGCCATCGAGTCGTTGAGAAGTAAGAATCCCTATAGCTTGCAGCTATTGTAATTATTTTTGGATAATGTCTATTTTCTACCCCCCTATCCGAAAAGACTCGTACACACCTTGGAACCTCCCCCAGTAGCTCCGAACATGCAAAAACATCCACCGTCCCTTGGTATCCTTGGTAGAGTTTAGACCCATGATGGGCTTTTGTAGGTTTTTTAGGTGGGTGCCCTCCATTGGCCACAGATGGCCATACATGAGTTAATGTATAATGTGCAACTGTGCAACATTCGCTTGGTGATGCTTGCTTGGCGCAATTTGCTTCTTTCACCCCTTGGCTCTGAATGCATGGCTATCGGAAGATCCGACTCCTTGCTGCTGAGGACATGAAGCTGAAGTCATGACCTCAGACGTTTGTTGCCATTAAACTCATTAGAGCGTTGATAAGTCTTTCCACAATCCAGAGTGTACCGAGAATCCTCTACTTGCATTTGGTCTGAGGAGTCCCTTTTATGTTGCTTACCCAGATGCACGGAAACAAGATGCAGTGGGGGACATTTTAGAATGGCACTTGCCTCAGTTACGTGGCACTTCGCGAAACAACATGCAACAACCAAAGATACACAAAAATGCCCATGCTGCTGAATTCTGCAGGTACGCCTCGCAAGAGGTGTGCATTTTGATCCTTGTTCGAGATAGGGTCCTGTGAGTGGTTTTGATTGATGTGTTTGAAGGGAGGTGGGTTTTGCCATATGCTGAGTATGTAGTTTCAGATTCCGCGCTGTGATGCGAGTTGCATGACAACAGATCTACAGCTGAGGAGAGAGAATACATATTTTTTTGATGACAAGGATGAGAACATTCACCCATTCAGAGGCAATGGACATCAGTTGGTAGTTGGTCACTTGAGACTTGTTGGTGTGCCAACTGGGCAGCCGAGGGTTGTGGTGAGGGGTCAGAAGGGGCTTAGATTCATCTCCTCCTTGAGGTACAGGAATGAATGCCCGGCAGATTTCTTGCAACTCTCGAGATGCGGCTCTTGGTTGGGGTGCTGTTGGTTCTTTGCCACAATTGCTTTGTGTGCTTGAGAGGGCGTTTTCCATGTGCTCATGCACAAGTCAGTTTTGACTGTCAAACTTGTGCAAGTTATCCTCCCAATTGTTTTGCTTTGCCGAGGTTTTTGTGGAGCAACAAGGGACGAGATCAAACAAGAGAAAGGTGTCAATGTTTGCAAGGCCCTCACAGACTTCACAGCTTGTTGGCACACATGGGATGCTCATTGTTTGAACATGGTTTGTAATTCTGTATGGTTGTGCGTGAAGCAGAAGGGTGTTGTGGATGCTGAATAATTGTGTACGTGATGTGTTTTACTGCACCTGGTTCTTCAAAGGGACGTTTTGATTTCCTGGCTATAAAAGGTCATGGTCACTTTGACAAAGCTGGTAACCTGGTAGATTCTTCGGCATCAAACATGTTTATATAGATTTTGTATACCCTCGGCTTTCGCTTGTGCTGCTTGTACCACCTTTGTCCGAACAGATCGACTGCCAATGGACTGCGTGGTCTGCCTGGAGCTCTTGCAGTGCCAGCTGTGGCGGCGGCAGTAGGCACTTTTGATTTGTTCTGATCCAATTTCGTCGTGTCAGTGCTGGGTCGTTGGTCAGATCCTTTGAATACTGTGATGCCCAAGCTTCTATGGAGGATTGAGACATGCATCAGCTATGGATCAGGACAACACTTTGCCTCTCAATTCGTGGCAGGTCAAGACATCGCGGAATTTTGATCAAGCCAAGAAATGGTGGGCAGGAGCGCTTGTCATATTAGACTTGGCCAATGAAAGTGAGACATTTGAGTGCTGTACTGTAAATCTAGTTACCTTGGGCCTACAGAGATGCTTGGACTATGATGAGCCTAGGTAACGTTGGAGATGCTAAGAGATGCTTGACTCATCATGAATCATGAGCCTGCATAGGGAGCATCATCCCATGTTGGGCGGTATTCAGACGGGAACTCTCTTACCTACTTTCACATTGCTTGCATCATGAAGGAGTGCGGAAATTCCGGCACTGACACGCAGGCACTGACGGCAAGCATCAGAAGTCCCGTTTATGCTGTTTTGACAGGCCTTGTCATATTTGTTTTCATTTTTCAATATTGTTCGTTTTGCATCGCCCTGGTACAGGGATGCAATGCCTTGGCGTGTCCAACAACGACAACTACGACAACAACTACAACGACCACTAGCACAAGCGCAGAGACCACCCTGACAACCACGTTGGTAGTAGTCCCAGAGGCGGCTGTGCTCAAACCAGGGCCAGTGTGAGCATTGCATTCAGTAAATAATGAAATTTGTAGTCGCAACAAATGTCCGCTGCTAAGCCGACAATGAGTTGAAGCAAGATGTGAAGACTGAGAATGCCAAGGAAGCTGCAGACAGCTAGTTAGCAGCCTCTTTATAGCAGGCAGGGGGCCAGTTTTGACACAGTTGAGCATGCCCCGCATGATTTTGTGCACAACGGATGCTGGCAATTATTCCATAATGTTCCATAGGGATGAAACACGGGCGATGTTTTGTTGGCATTGCCAACATTATTCTTGCATTTCGTGATGGCTGCAGGACTGTTCTCCTTTGATCGCTTTCTGATGTCCCGCAGCGGACAGAAAGCTTGACACGCTGCTGGCACCATTTCAAATCCTCATTGGTGAGCTTCAGCCTGTTGATAGAGACCAGTGTAGAATGCAGACGCCATCCTTCCTGGACATGCGACTTTTGAAAGATATTGGTTTGTGCAAAAATGAGCATTGAGTCAGCTATGATCGTGGCTTGGCTTTCATTGTGCCATTCGGAATTCCACCTCCACCTTTCAGGTATGGCACCGGACGCACACGGACGTGGGTCATGGAATTGTGTAGAGTGTAGAAGTCATAGAAGGTCTGGTTGACAATCGATGGGGTTGTAAACTTTGTGGTTCAATCATTTTCAGAAACAAATGACAGTCGTGAATTCTTCCATGGCGATTCCATGAGTTGAAGCACTGACATGGACACGACACGACACGACGCTGCATGCTAATATACTCCGAAGCTGTTGTCACAGCAGGGACGATATGATGCGCGCGTAGCCCCCTAGCCGGGGTATTTGCTACATGTGCAAGGTCCAGATCAAGCAAACGATGCATGACCCCCAACAACACATGTCTGTGGATTTGGACTCAAGCTAGCCAAATCTAACACGAGAACCCAACAAGAAATGAAAACAACACCTGAAGACTCGTTGCAGCATTGGCCCTGCACAGAGTTTTGGGCAAGCGACAAGGTAGCAGATCAGGACGAGTCTCGAAGCAATGTGATCAGTGATAAGCAATCGCCAAGAAGCGGAAAAGCATCGGAAGGCTTAAAGGACAGCCACTTGGCAACTTGTTGCCATGGATCGAAACAGCTCTTCGGCCCTGCTGAGTCAAGCCCTTTGGCAGCATCGAATGCACCAATGAATGTAAATGTACTCTACAATTTGTGTTTCCTCGCCCTCTTTCGCAGGGAGGAGAGCTTGTCTCTCAAACAATTGCAATTTCCTGCCACCAGGGCCTTTGGGGATTCTTGTCACGCTTTTTGCAAACATCATGTCTCGCCGTGTGAGCCGTGTGAGCCACCACTCTTTGCACGGCACGAGGTTGGCAGGTGGTTGGGCAATGGCTTTGGCTGCATGTTTCCTAGACAGAATTGTGTTTCCAAGCATTTGAGTGCGAATCAAAGACTCAATCTTTAGCCAGTGTTCCTGTTTTAAGTTCATGTGAGTGACTAAACGTTGTGGTCCATTATTGATCCGTTAATTTTACCCGTGGTTACGGAGTATATAAAAAATCTAAATTGGTGTTTGCTTTGCGGTAACGCGCCTTGGGTCCCTCTCAGATGAAGGTCAAGAGTCTAGAGGCTTGTAAGATGGGCACTACGACAACTAGTTGTTGGGTTGCTGACTTGCGGCACGGAAAGCCCTTGTTATGATGTGTTAACTGTTGTAATGCAGCTGAAGACAGATGCACATCGTAAACGCCATATGACATGATGCAATCAACACCTCATTTATTGTATATGCACACAGCGTTCAAGATGGTATGTTCCACAAGTTTAGGCATACAGGAAGGCAATGATGGCAGTTCCGTCGCTAGCAACAGATTAATGCAGATTACAGGTGGCAGAAGGTGTCACAAATTGTGTTTACTGTGCTTCGGATGCTGCGTTTTTGTTTTAAGCAAGACGCCCTGAAAGGTTTGCAAGTTGCAGCAAGCTGAGGTTCTATTTGCTACCTCCACACAAACTGGCTTTGTCAAAGGGCGACACAGTTCCAAATCTAATTGGAACTCACGGTGTTGCCACATAGCATGATTTGGACCACGTTTGTTTCCTTTCGAATCGCTTCTGAAAGCATTAGACTCAAAAGAGACTGAAGAGACTGTTTGGGCTTGCGTTGGAAGTGCTAGCAAAGCATTGCCAAGACATAATATGCTTTGCAAGCACATTTGTTTAGCCGGAGCTCTTGAGGCAATGTTTCTTGTCCTCATGTCCTTGGAGCTTTTGGCTGGGTTCGTGTTTGCAAGAAAGTGTGTTTACCGCTTCAATGATTTCATGGGCTCATTGTCTTCTGGCACCAGCCAACAACTTTTTGGAGCGTTGGCATCGAAGATCATCAGACACAAGCGCATGTATGCACTTGTGCACGACAACTGCAGCATCCTTTCTGTCGATGTGAGAGAAAGGCCAACGGCATCCTGGGTTTTGCTCATGATCCTTAGTCGCCAGTGCAATGGAGAGGATTCAACACCTTCCAAACACATGTTCAACATCAATCAATGTCACTCCTACCTGAACGATAATGAGAAGGGACATCCTAAATCAGGAATAGAAAAACCACAACAAATGAAGTCTGATAGGAAGTTTTGGTTTTGTTTGTCAGACCGCTTACAAATTTATGAGTCATATGAGTGCATGAAGTGATAAAGAGTCTTCATGAGATGGACCCACTCGGGGTTACCAAGGATGGGGGTGGATCTAGCTTACTACTGGGCACACCGGACCCTGCACGGCTTGCATGTTGGCTGGGCTGCTCACAGTGTACATCACTCGGGGGAAGACTACAATTTAGCGACAGCTTTACGTCAAGGAGCCTTGCAGCCCTTGATGACCTGGGTATTTTCACTGCCCTTGGCGCTTTTCTTCCCAGCCGAGTCGATTTCAGTACACTTGCAACTAAACACGCTATATCAATTTTGGATTCACACAGAGTTGTGTGGCCGACTGGGGCTCCTAGAGTATATTTTGAATACTCCATTTCACCACAGGATGCATCACCGGCCTCCCGGGAATTGCAATTACGCTGGTGTTCTCATCATTTGGGATCGCTTGTTTAGCACCTACCAAACTGAAACTGAGCGCCTGGACTACGTTGGTTTGGCACCTTCTGCTCGCACATTCAATCCTGTGAAGCTCAACTTGCGATACTGGCAAAAAATTACCAAGAGCTTCCGTTGCAATGGTTTTCGGTCGGTTCTTCGCGCATGTTTTATGGTCAGCACCCTGGCAGCATTGGAGAAGAAGGGGTTGGGGAGCATTGCTTGAGCTTTGTGAGGACTCTTAGAGCCAACTAATACTGTAACTAAGCCGGCTTTCGTGTCGGGACATGACCCTAGCACTGTTTGGGAGACATAAATAGGATGTTCAAGGGCTATTAAGCAATGACTGACAAGTCAAGAGATGCAGCCAAACTATCACCATCCATAATACTGTATAATTTACGATATGTATCTATAATTCATTATAATTCCATATGTATATTTATCTTTGGCGTAGCAATGGAAACCGGAAGGAAGGCCGTCACGCTTTGTAAAGAAAGCCTTTTGATTGTTGACTTCAAGTTGGACCAGACCCGTCGGTCCGTCCGGTGTGTTTGTGCCCAAGGAGTTCGGCATGCTTTGGGCTTCTCACCACGGGCTTTAATCGATGGCTTTGAGGAGATGAAAGGTGGGCGTAGCTCTTGGTCCTTGCCAGATGAAGGTAGACCAAAGTACCAGGGCGCAAACCTAGATTGGAGCCGCGCTTGCAATGGGTAGCAAGTACCAAAAAGCTGTAGTTATGTTGATATGTCAGGCAGTGTTTGGAGCTATATATCAAGTTGACTCTCTGTCTATGCTAGTCACCTAGTCGATGTTGAGTTCGGTGTTTGGAGGAGCCCGGAGAAAAAGGACTTTATCATAACCGCACTTCGTAGAGTCAAATTGTATATATATATATTACTACATACGTATATACATAATTCTACACATTGCAGGACTTTCGTAAACTTCTAGCAGCTTAGTAAGGGCTCTGAAGACTCTAAATCTGCCGAAGGTGTGGATCGTGCAAATTTAATCAACTTTCCGAAGAACTGCATAGTAATGGAAGTATACAATAGTATGTAGCATGCATATACATATATATATATATGTATTGTCATACTGAAGATATACTGTAATTGACTGGGCTGTTTGAGTTGTTCTACCAGGCTTTGCCATGGAACTAAGGACTGGAAAGGCCGCGGCCGTGGGTCTTCTCTTTTGCAGTTTTGTTTGTCTTCAGAAGGCGGAGCGGCATCAGAGCTTTGCTCGGCTCAGCTGCAGTGCCGGAGGAGGGCTGCTTTGTTTGTTCGCTTTGGGCACCTTGGCACTTCTTCGGAAAAGGTAGAAAAATGTAGAAAATGGCTTAGCCAACAACACACATGGGCAGGGCAACCTATATCTTCTACGTTAACGAGCCGTGACACGCTGGAATGTGAAGCGATTGCATCATCTCACAAGTGATTTCAACATGTTTTTAACTAAAGCTTTGAAAGCAGATGAGGCGATCTATTGGACCTGGGGAGTTGGGACAGGTCAATGATTCTGAAGCTGCTGACTGCGGCAAGCTTAATTGTAACCGAGTCCGGCCTCAGTCGCAGGGCCCAGTAGTCATCAGTAGTGTCATCAATATATGCCAGCCAGGTAGTTGTTGCACTGGTAACTCTAATCTGCGATTGAAAGCACCAAAGTGTGTGAACCTACCAAATCAGATCAAAACAGAGTGTCACATTGCAAATCGAGAAATCATGCTTGCAGAGCAGTGTCTCCATCAGCCCATTGTGTTTCATCTTGTCAACCTGATTGTGCAACTGGCTTGTTGGGGAGGCCTTGTTGACCCTTGTTTCAGAATGTGAATATATACGCAATACGCAGCCGTTCTTTCCTCCAAAGTTCAAGGGCTAGCGAGTCTAGCGTGTTTGACAGGGACACAGAGGGCGGTTCTCCTAGAGTCTTGGCTCAAACTTCATTTGCAGATGGGAAGATGTTTTCTCAATGCCTAGGACTCCGGCACGAGCGAATATTTGATTTACCTTGTTTTTGCTTTTCTAAAGGCCTGGATCCGATCAAGCCATGTCACGCGTTCGAATGGACTTAGCTGCACCCGTCCATTCCAACCATACAAATCTATAGAATACACGCACACACACACACATATATACATATAGTTATATATATATATTATATACATATACCTATACACACTGTATGTACTGTACTTGTTTCTGTTAATTAAAGATGCGAACAGTTGGAGCTCTGAGGTTGAATGGAGGCAGCGGTGAAATTTTCCAGCTTTTTGCTGAATCCATGGTCCCTCACATTCCCAATGTGGGTGGCTGCTGCCGTTGCAAAGGAGCTGTGCAGCATTGCAGAAAAATATAGGCAGTTCATGCAGTGGCTTTGCCATGATTTCAGCGCAATTGAATTTTCGGCTCCTTTTAAATTCAATGTGCACACAGGCGAGCCCTTTGGAGCTCAGGGTGGGTCTTGATGACCTCCATGAGAGAGGATGGCAAAAATCGATTTGATCAAATTGACAATCGGAAATTCAATCGAAAGGGATGGAAGCCACTAGTAACAAAGGGCATCGCCACTAGGAATAAGGACGCTATTGCTGTAGTAGCTCCTGGCCTTTCTACTAAAGTAACAAGGGCGCTCTTAGTAGCGAATATAATGTCCTAGGCTAGGGCGGCCAGGGGCTTACTGCCCTTACTATATATACCGCACCCATGTATTTGATGTCAGACCATATCACCATGGCACTTTGCCTTCTTCTTTCTCAACGCTTTCACTGTGCTTTCAACTGTTTACTTTTGATGCCCCTTGCTTTCGTCTCTGACCATTCCACAGCACCCTGCGGACACCATGCGAGCATCCTGTAGCTTGACTTGTGAGTATCATTACTGTAGGATGATAAGTTGGATGCTTGCTTTTAGATTGGAGGCCATCGCTATTAGGTTGGCCATCGCTTCTAGGTTGGAGGCCATAGCCATTAAAAAGAAATAAAACAAGAACGAAGGACACACCTTTTTTGACAAGGACACCTTCGAAGTGCGGCGCAATGACACAGAATAGGGTGAGCCGCTTGTAGATAGTTCCATTACAACAAAAAAACACATATTATATATATATATATACGCAGAGTGTCAGCTGGTGCCAGCATGTTGAGAAACTGCCAGCACTAGCATAGCTTTGAAACCTCGATGGTTGAGACCGACAATTTTAAATTTTGAAGAAGCCCAATTCCTTCAGGAGGCTGCACTCCAAGCAACTGATGTGTGTTGCGGGCTGAGTGAGTCAGTCAGGCAAACTGCAAAACGTTCATAGGAAGCCAGCACAATGCCGGAAGCAGAACTTGTATCGGAAGGGCTGGGAGGGGCCGTGTTACATTTATGTGTTGAAGCTTAGCTTAGGTATAACTTTTGCCTGCCAGCGATTTGATCCATTGCCAAGCCGCACTGGAACAAAGCCTTTGTACAAGAACGTCCTCGATCGAAAGGATTTGCTGGCTGCATGTGGCTTTAAATTCTGCAGTTGCGCTTCCACTCTAGTAGCACATTCTTTTTTGAAAGCAGTTTCTGTCCTGTTTTTGGATGACATGGAGGATTATGCATTCCTGTTGATGAACTCCTTTGTGGAGATGATTTTCTCAAGCCATCTTTGCTACAATGCGTGTTTCGACTGCAACGTTTCAAGTTTGAAGTAAGTCACAGTCTAGTGGTGGTAGGACTCAAGGGGATCTGGCGTTTGTATATGAATAGTAGAAGATAGTAGAAGCATTAAATCATCGCACATGACAGTCTTCAAGTGATGAATTTGACGTGATGCTTGCTTTGACAGGTGGTACTCTTCTTATATTCAACGAAGCTGGCCTTCTTTTGGCATCCTGAACGGTCCTATTGCGCTTTTGCTCCTCGGCATGTCTAACCGTGGTAAACGATGCGGGGTGCTTTGATTCAGAGATGCAGTCGGAGGTGGCGACTTGACTGAGGCTGTTAATTTTGTTCAATGACATGCTGTATGCCCCAGCACACCGACGCTCGGCGGCATGCGGTTGACAATGCAGACACGGGTTGTAGCATGTTGTAGCTCCTTTGAGTTTGTAGCATGACATTCCAGGACTCCTTCACCATCCTGCCGTGTACCCATATATCCATAAGCATCACCACCGCTCCATCTACCCTTCACGTGGAAACATCGATGCTCGGAACGAGCATCCCATCGAACAGATGCCACTTGGCTTAGCCACAGCCCATTCTGCAAAAACAAACGGATACTGCAAGTTCTGTTATATTGTTTATATTTTTGATGGGAATATTGTTTTGAAATGTCTGGAGGGGGGTTCCAGCCAGTGTCCTGTTTCTGTTGCTGCTTTGCAGGATTGCCATGGCGCTTTGGATGACAGCGATTTACATGGTGGCCTTCAGCACTGGCATGCATGCGGCCACAATCATTGGGCACTTGGCGGTGATGACCATGGGAGCCTCCCTGAACCACGCTGGATTTGACTTGGAGATCCGCTTCCTAGGTGGAGCCCCTAGTAGCTGCTTGTTCCTAGGTGCGCCATACATTCCTTGACTTGAAAATTGTCAGCCAAGCCAGCACAGTATACAGAGGGTTTTTGATCGCGAGGGTTTGAGGCCTTCCTTGGCAGTCTCGGGACATTTGTTCACTGTTTGTTCGTCAGGTCTGAGAGGACGAGTCATTTCAAGCTAACGAACAGACTCATCACAGATTCTCCTGATATATCCTGATATTATTTCCTGAGATGCTATTGTGTTCGAGTCATGATTTCTAGGTGTTGACTGGTATTCGACTGGTGCCCATGAAATGCACCATCGTCGGCCTGATAAGAATTTTGCGCAGTTTACAATGTTCTGGGCAGCCTGGCTGAAGTGGAGTGCACTAAAAGCAAGCTGCTGCGTGAAGGAGGGATGTTGGGCATGCTTTCCGCTCTTAGGACAAGCTCATGGGGACTTACATCCCGTACACCGATGAGCTCTCTGATGCAAACGCGCAGAAAGCGAAGTGACACATATAAACCAGATTATTTGACATGTTGGAGACTTGGTGCTTCATGGGAGCAGACTGCCACGCAAGATTGATTAATGTACCTTCCAACCGGTAGTACCACCCCGTAGCGCCGCAAACAAGTTTGCGTCATCTAACATTGCATTGTTTCTAATAAATAGTAGATGAATGTAGACGATTTATATACTGTATGTGGAAATGCTTCCTGCTCGACCGATGGACGGGGCCTTTGACCAGAATAGAACAAGGATGAACAAGGCAAAGGCTTGACTAGTCTAGCAACCGGTAGTGTGTTGCAAAGGGTGTAGCATGTGCGACAACGCTCAGATGCACTGGCCCTTGCCAGTGCCATAAATTCTGCCCGTTGTGGTACCTCTGTGCTGAAACGCAGAGGCAAAGATCTGCACGTTCCAATACAGTTTGGCCTTTCGCGGCGTTCCTGGACATATTGGAAAACACCCAATTTTGGTGGTTCGAGCAAGGCTGCAATCAGCAGCTTTTTGCCTCAAGCTTTGGCTGTCGCGATATTTTCCCAAGTGATGTGCCGGATCGAAACAGTAATACTCAGTAATCAGATCAGATAGGATTGTTTCCTTGCATTTTTTCCTGCACGAAGACAGCAAGTGTGGAACGGAAAAAAGGCTGTGGCGCTTGCCTGTGCGGATTTTGGCGCGCTATGTATATTATCTAATACGAAGAAGTTAGCTCCAGACTCCAGCCCAGTAGCAGCAGCTTTGGTTCAAGCCTGGTTTTTGGCAGTCGGAGTTGTGTGAAGGTCAGCTATGGCCGCTATGGGCAAGGTTGTAGCTCCCGGGATGTTCTGGTGTGACTACTATAACTTCGGTCACCCCGTTCTTCTCGGGGAGATGTCGCGAGCTTCCTACAGATCTCCCTCACTTGCTATCAGGTGTAGTTCCTGTTCTTCAGCTTCAAAGTGGAAGTGAATATATGTGATTTTGCAGCGCCAGATTGTGAGGAAAGGTAATTAAGCCAGTGGGACCCGGCTTGTCCAGCGATGCCTCGGAAGGAAACATGTCGAACGCGACTTTTGAGAAGGTCCCCATGGCTCCAGGCACAGGAATGGCATGGGCATGGTTCAACAAAAGCTGTGAGCAGCTTCAGCGCCAGCTGAAAGGAATCTTTGGCATGTCCCAAGCGATTGATACCTTACCTTGAGTGGTCATGTTTGGAACTTGTCTCAACATCCACTTGCTTGCCGGCTTGTCCAACTAGGCCTTGGAGCAGCAAACTGCTACCTAGGCCTGAGTTGAAGACTCATGTCCAAGAAGAATTGACCTCGCCCATGCCAGCTAATCCAACTATTGTCCTGCAGATTGTGACCCAACTAACGTGGCGTTCAGGTACGAGTTGCGTGGCGCCAGAGTTGCGGCACAACGCCGCTGACCTTTCGGGGCATCGCTTCGGTTGTCGATTTTGTGCCACGATCGAGTTTCATGCGGCACGGGACACCACGCAGGAACTCGTGGAGGAAGTCTTGAAAGAGGCAGACTTGTGCTACCCGGTACCCATTTGGCCACGTAGCTCAAGCCATCCTGGAGCATAGTAGTCAGAAGCACCACGATGCAGGGGCGGCTGATGCACAAGACAGCCAAGTTGACCGCAGTGCGCCACGAATTGAACCAGACCAAGCATGGAAGCAGGGATCCAGAAAACCATCCAAATGAAGATCTTAAGTCCGAACCGAAGCTCTTCCCGGTGGCAACACAATTACAACATAACTCACCAGGTTCCAGTTTCTTGCATGGATATTGCGTGATCTTGTAAACGCAGTCCGGGTCATTCCGGTATGTCTCGTGGTTGAATTTGCAATTTTTAGCTGGCTGGTCAGAGGGCCGAAATGGCTTTGGACGCCTTTCAAGCATACTTGAGGAAAAACAAGAATACCATGACTCAACTGCTTGGAAAGTAGCATGTTTTTCTTTGATCCGTGTAAAGTCATGTAGAAAGGGGTCGAGCGTGCGCACCGACACAGAGAAGCATCCCCTCCAAAGACTGTGGCAAGTGTGAGGGCAAAGTTTGAAGTGCGCCCGACAAAACAAGAAGCTAGTAGAAACAAGTGCATCGCTTCTAGTAACAAGTGA